GATGATCATCTTGAACGATTGAAGAATTGCGAATACTTTACATCTTTAGACATGGCCAGCGGATATCACCAAATACCAATAGCAAAAGATTCCATGGCAAAAACTGCTTTTATAACTCCAGATGGACACTACGAGTACTCGAGGATGCCATTCGGATTAGCAAATGCTCCAGCAGTTTTTCAAAGAACGGTTAATCAAATTTTAGGATCTTTGAGATTTACTATCGCTCTTGCATACTTGGATGACATACTGATTCCTTCTATTGACTTTTCATCAGGTTTGAAGTCTCTTGAAACCATTTTGCAACTATTTCAACGTGTTGGGTTAACCCTACGGCTGTCGAAGTGCCATTTTTTTAGACAGACTATTGAGTACTTGGGCCATGAAATCAACAAAGAAGGCGTGCGCCCAGCTCCTGCAAAAATATCAGCAGTAAAGGACTTCCCAATTCCAAAGGACGTACATGAAATTCGACAATTTTTGGGTCTGTCAAGTTACTTTCGAAAATACGTCAAAGATTTTGCGATTGTTGCAAGACCACTGACACAACTTACAAAAAAAGATGTCGTGTTCAATTGGAATGAAGAACAGCAACAAGCCTTCAATCGCCTAAAAGAAATCCTTTGTACTCGACCAGTACTTGCGATTTATCACCCAAAATACGACACTGAACTACATACTGACGCATCAAAACATGGAGTGGCCGGAATCTTACTACAAAAGCAACCAGATTCCAAGTTGAAACCTGTTCTCTATTTCAGTAGACAAACCAGCAAGGAGGAACAGCGTTATCACTCGTACGAGTTGGAAACAATGGCTGTAGTGAATTCGATGCAAAGGTTTCGTGTTTACTTATTAGGAATACCATTCAAAGTTGTAACTGACTGCAACGCACTTCGGCTAACTATGACAAAGAGGGATATTATACCAAGAATTGGACGTTGGTGGATGGTCACACAAGAATTCAACTTTACAATAGAGTATCGTCCAGGAACTCGCATGGCGCACGTAGACGCCCTCAGCAGGAATCCCGTAGATGATTCCAGCAATTGTTATGAAGATGTGCAAATTTTAACCATCAATATATCTGAAAGTGACTGGGTTTTGACAGCACAGCTCCAGGACGAGCGTTGTCAGTATTTGAAGGATGTACTTTCAAGAGCACCAGCTGATAAGGAAGAATGTGGAATCCATGGAGAGTATGAAATTAAGCATGGGAGGATATATCGAAAAACCAGTGAAGGGTTGAAATGGGTAGTACCAAAATCGGCTCGCCATGCGGTTACAAACTACTTCCATGATCAAGCAGGACATCTGGCAGCTGACAAAACGATATCGCAGATTCAAAAAAATTATTGGTTTCCACGTTTGCGAAAATACGTAACCAGATATATATGTTGCTGTCTAAGCTGTTTATACAATAAAAGTAGTGGTGGACCACAGCCGGGATTTTTACACTCTATACACAAAGAGCCCACTCCAATGGATACTCTACACATTGACCACTTGGGCCCTTTTGTAAAAAGCAAGCAAGGCAACATGTACCTCATCGTTTCTGTGGATGCTTTTACCAAATATGTTTTCATGAAAGCAGTGAAAAACACCAAAAGCTTGCCAGTGATAAATTTTCTGAAAGATATCTTCAATACTTTTGGTGTGCCAAGAAGAATAATTTGCGATCAAGGAACAGCTTTCACTAGTACGGAATTTAGAAAATATTCAACTGAAATTGGAGTGAAGATTGTGTATAATGCTACGGCAACACCAAGGGCAAATGGACAAGTCGAGCGCTACAACAGAACAATTCTTTCTGCAATAGCTGCTTCCACAGATGAAGATGATACCTGGGATCAAACAATGCATAGAATCAGATTTGGAATCAACTCTTCTATAAATAAAACTACAAGAAAAAGCCCCCATGAGATGCTTTTTGGTTATCAACTTAGAGGAGTGAACGATGCATTCTTAACCTCTTCAGTTTGTGTAGACTCCAATCCCGTTAATTTGTCTAAAAATAGACAAAAGGCAGCCGAAGCAATTGCATTAGATCAAGAAAAACAAAAATCCCGTTTTGATGTAAAAAGGAAAGATGTGAAATTCAAAATCGGCGATTTGGTACTTATTCGGAAGCAAAGTACCCAGAATGATGGAAAAAGTAAAAAACTATTACCTAAGTTTGGAGGACCATATATAATCAAGAAAGTCCTAGATTATGATCGCTACTTGATAGAAAGCCTGCCTGATGAAAATGGACGAGGAAGACAATACAGTGGCATTTGGGCTGTAGATAAGCTGAAGCTCTATGAGGCTCGACGCGAAGAAGATGGTGATGCTTTGTCCGATGAAGGGTCTGAATCTAGTACTGTTGGAATACAACCAATATTAGAAAACGAAAGTCGTTTCTCTTCGAGAAGTTTGACGCCACTAAAAGTAGGTGGCGATAATAACGAAAAGTCGCTGAGTAAAAGTAGCTCAGTTGATGAAAAAATGCTGTGGCAAAGTGCTACTGGCATTGAGAGTGAAGAGTCACTCGGGAACAAAAGTTGTTCTAGTGTGCGAGAAAAGGCTCCACAAAGAGATGAAGTTCTTACGAGTAGAAAGTCACTCGAAGAACCTGAAGAAGAGATAGTCGAAGCGCCTAGTGAAAAGTCACTTGGAAGTAAAAGTCACTCCGGGCGTAGTGCGCAAAAAGTCTGCGTATCACTCAGGGAAAAGTCCCCTACAGCAAAAACCAAAGCTTCTCTGAGAGATTCTATACCTGTTCGTGAAAAGTCGCGAAAACGAAGCTTGATTAGTTCAAGTATGGGTGAGGATCTCAAAGAGGACTTAAGGGTGAAGCTGATAAGAAAGCGATCAGCAGAGAACAAGTCTCGCTGGGTCGTCTTCAGAGATTAGGTTATTAATTTTGTTTTGTATTGTTCCAGGTTTCGTGGAGAAAGTCTCGAGGCGAGACCATGGTAGCATTGGCCGACTATAAGCAATTTCTAAAGAATGCGGGTGACGAAGCCACCACAGAGGCCGTACCATAAAAGGATGCAATAAACCCCTTCAGGGACCCTTCGAAAAATGTTAGATAATAGGATAAGGTTGGCAGGGTCTTGAGAAATTGAGACCCAGGTAGTTGTCTTCTGAATGTTAAATCGGGCGGTTGACATTTAAGATTATTTAATATACGTATTTTTGTGGAGAACTGTGTTTTTGTTGGAACAAATTTTGTTAGTTAACACTGGGTTTTGTTACGATATACAGGGTGAGTTACTAAGCGCGCGGTGGTCCATATCTCCTATCCTATACTAACGGAGATCGAAGAAAAAACTACATACAAAACTTGTAGATAAACATGACTACTACATTTCTAAATTATTTTCCAGTATACAGGGTGGCCCAGTAACAGGCGCGTGTCAAACGGCCCCGCAGACCCCGCCACGCGGAGGGGCTACCGGTATATTGGGGGCCCCCAATATACTCTAAGAAAAAGTAATACCTATGTATATCAAACAAACTCCAAAAATACAAATATGCACATTTAAACATTTCAAATCCATATTTAATTTGTCACTATTTCTTTCGAACATAAAAAATGTGAACGCCCAAACAATTGTCAACCCTGGCTGGTCGAAACCTCAGTGATTCCCATAGGTTATTCCTCGTTTTAATGGGAATTTCTGGTTATTAGCTAGTCTTTGTTGTATCACTTGTTATGAACTTTTCAATCATCCCTCTTATATTATAATAACATATAATAATTTATAGAAATAAATTTAGTTTCAAAAATTCGCTGGGTTTTTTAACTATTAGATAATGATATTGTGTATAAATAATTACTATAATGGGTTATTTTTGGAAAATATAATAGTGACATAGGGGGCCTCAAAAAAAAATTCGCGGGGGGGCCCCCAAAAAATTTGACACGCTACTGCCCAATAACTAAAAGTGACACAAAGTTATGTTTTTTTAAATGACTCCCCCTGTATATTATGACATTTCTGGATTCTGCGGAAGACATATTTCATGTACAATGTCATATACCTATCTTCAACTGTTTCGGAAATATTGAAAGTTGAAAATTGACTTTTTTGAATCTTTGACAGACTGTAAAACCTGAACAGTTAATTTTACAAGAAAACGGATTTTACATTCCTATCTCAGTTTTTCATAAACGATCATTTGACACCGACCTTGAATTTAATCCATGATTAAAAATTCCGCCTAAATTATTAATTTTCGGTTAAATTCAAAGTGGGTGTCAAATGATAGCTTATGAAAATCTGAGATAGGAATGTGAAATCCGTTTTCCTCTAAAATTAACCGTTTAGATTTCACAGTCTGTCAAAGATGCGAAAAAGTCAATTTTCAACTGTCAGACTGCCAGAAAAGACTTCAAGGAAAAGATGAAGGTGTCTCGAAAATTGGAAAAAAATAAAGCTGCCAAATCCAGAAAAAGAGGTGAAAGCTACTCTTCTCAAACAAGAAAGCAAATACCTGGTAAAACAGCGAACACAATGGGAAATTTATGCAAGAAAGAACATTGTAAATGAAACTGTGACAGTAAGTTTAGTACTGGCAAGGGAAGAAATATTTATAAAGTTTTACAGGTTGGACGTGAATGCAAAAAATGCACTTTTGTTTAAAAGCATTATACTAGGACAAGTTCAGACGCATCGAAAAAATATCAGAAAACCCAAATCTGCATCTTTTAAAGATACTATTCCGTATAATAAAGCAGTTATAATCGTTTATAAAACCGCTATATGTTCCCTGTACCAAATTCCTGAAAAAAAGTTGCGTGTTATACGAACAAAATTAATCAGTTCAACTGGATTTGCTACTTCGCCATATAAAAGAGGCCACCATGACAACAGGCCTCACAAAATTTCCCCTGATGTTCTGCAATCAGTAATAAACCATATCAGTCAATTTCCAGCTGGGATTGCTCACTATTCCCGCAATAAAAATCCGAACAAAAAAAATATCTTCCACCAGAATTGAATATTAGCAAAATGTACAAGCTATACCTAGAGGATGACAACGAAAAAGATGTCCCTAAAAGATTCAAGGTAAAAAATGCACCTATCATAAAATATTTTCGACTGAGTTTAATCTGTCCTTTGGACAACCAAAGAGCGATACATGTAGCACTTGTGACGCAAATTCAAATACTGAGGAGCACGAGTCTCAATACAAATTTGCATTTGAGCAACAGAAGAGGGAGAAAAACCATGCTCGTGTTACAGAAAATGTATGCTATGTTACAATGGACTTGCAGCAAAAGCAACCTCTGTCCAAAATAACAACCTCTAAAGCCTTTTACCTCTGCCAACTCTGGTTTTACAATTTAAGTATTCACTCTGCAACAAAATCTAGAGAAAAACCATATTTTTTTACTTGGACAGAGGATATTGCAGGTAAAGACAGTTTCGAAGCTGGTAGCTCTCTTCATACTTTCGTACAATTCCTAGATTCATGCTCTGGGCAAAACAAAAATTTTAATATGATTGCCCTTTACCAGTACCTTGTTTTAAAGGGCATGTTTAGAGTTATCGATCACAAATTCCGCGAAGTTGGTCATTCATTCCTAGATTCGGACCGAGATTTCGGAATGATCGAAAAAAATTTACGCAAAAGGGAAAACATTCTTGTTCCCGACCAATATCGTGAAATTATCAAATCGTCCAGTGTTAAATCTGCTGTTGTAATAAACATGGAGAACGCTTCAAAGATTTGGAGCAAATTATACCATCATTTCACCTGGTTAACAAGAAAAAAAACCTTCTAAATGAAGAGGTTGATTTTCGAGATCACATAAAATGGATACGAGTAGACGAGTATGGAAGCTATTTGTATAAAGAAAGTCTCGACGAATTCACTCCATTTCACAAGGTAAACATTCTGAGAAATGGTGCCAAAAAGGCTGATTATGATTCCTTTGCATTACAAGTCACAAGAAACAAAATAAATGAAGTTTCGAATGAGAAAAAGGCTAATATAAAGGAGTAACTGCCTTACATTGATAATGAGTTATATTCCTCGAAAGGAACGAAAGGGAAGATAAAAACGACAAAGCGAATAAAAATAAAAATGGAAAAAAAAAAGTTGCAAAATAATTAATTGTATAATAATAAACGTTGTCCAAGTACTAAGGCCTGCCGAATGAAAAGCTTTGAACTCAAATAACTCAAAAGTCAGTTTTCGGTACTTAGGCCCTTCAGCAACTTATGGAAAATTTTCAATGTTCCATAAATTCAATATTGAAGTTTCTCAGGTGCAAAACTGTTGAGACCAAATTAAAATCTCAATTAATAGGTTTTTAGACAATTTAATAGGCTTTAATTGGAGCCTAATTGCATTGAAATCGGATGAAAATTAAAGGAGTTGTGAGGCAAAAACCCTCTAGTGTTGGGTCAAAGGGGCTTAAGTCAAAAATTCGCGAAATTGAGATAAACAGAAGTCTTGAGTCTAGTTTTCACGCTCTTTCGATTGGTATAAACGACTTAAGTCCAGCTCATTTGGGTAATGCGCTATAAATTGTCCCATGGGTAATAAGTCAGAAAAAAAAAATTAAAAACGTTTGGTATCAATGTCTCAAGTTGCCTTAAGTCCTTTCAACCAAAATATTTGTAACATAAAAATCTCTTAAGGACTTAAGTCAATTAAGGCTTTTGTACCCAACAAGTTTTTACAAAAATTACATCATTTTCAATTTGTTCGCTGTTTGTACACGTGGCCAGTAGATTGTTTTACATCAAAATGAGCCAAAGAGGTAAAATTATAATGCAATTAGCTGCAAAAAATTATAATAATTGTAAGTACTAGAAGTACAAAACTTACACTAGAAGTAGTTTTCTAATAAAATGTATTCAAATATTAAATAACAAAAACCTAACCTGTCTTTCCACAACAAAGATTTGAAAATTTGCATTTATAACAAAAAAATATATTTTACACAAGGATAATTTCATAGGAATGAAGCCTCAATGTACTAATTCGATTACGTCAACACCAATTCCTACATTACTTCCAGTTTCTCCGGAATTAGATGATCGGTATTTGGTTAATGATTACTCGCAGTTGTCAACAGAAGAATGTTATAATAAATTTGAGTTTTATTATTATTGATAGATAGTATAATAATAAATTATTAATGATTACGTTTGATCAGTTATTTAATTATTTTTTTACTCAACAGAGGTTATTTTAATGACATTTTGCAATAAAACCGGATTCACCTCTTCCAAAAAATAAAGACATTTTGACGGAAACAGTAAATGAGACTAAATGTGCAAATTCGATGACGTCCTCGCCAGGTCTCTCATTGCCTCCCGAGCTCGAAGATATGTTTCATTCATATGATGATGATAGTATCGTAGATAAAGATTACACGCCCAAAAAATCTGAAAGTGACAGCAACTCGGACAGCAGTGACGATGACACTAATTTACAATTACTGCGCAGCAATCATATAATGTCTTCAAATAGAAATGATAAATGAATGGCCCTATGTTTGATTGAACTTTAGTCTGATTTTTTTTAACAGCAGCCATACAAATAATAACAGCAGATATTGACAAAGCTGGACCTAGTGGTTTAATACAAGATCAAATACCAGCAACACGAATATCACTAGATACTGCTATCCTGGCTGGACCAAGTGGGTCGACCCAAGATCATGGCGTGGAAAAAAAACCTTTTAAAGAATTGTCGAGGATTGTAAGGAAGAACCGGATTGGAAAAATGCATAGTGAACAAAGTTACGTAAATGTCAACGGAAAGCTGGTTAATGCAAGACAAATGAAGCCCCTAAAGCAGTCTAGAAAAAATGCTACTTGTTGCTAAGTGATGACATTCGTAAAAAACTTTTTGGTGAGTACTGGTCACTAGGCTCTCGCGATAAAAGGGTAACATTCATAGCAAATCTTATTAATTTCAAAGAAGTACAGGTTTCTCGATGAGATAGTTCAAAAAATCGAGATGCGACATATGAATACTATATATGAACGTAATAAGACACCTGCTAATAAAAAGACGGAAAAAGAACTAAATGAAGTATAAGCACACATTTTAGTTATTTATGTATCAAAGGAATTATGAGGGTGTTAATACCCCAGGGCAAAGTTTGTGTTAGTTTGGGTTATTGCCCGTGAGTATTAACATCTGATAATTCCCGTGGTACATAGATAATTTTATTTCCTACTGAATTTACTGTATTTTGCCATTTTGATAAAGAAATAAACCATAAACCAAAATTTATATTTTTTGTCAAAGTTTCACCTATTCAAGGTAAAAGCGGGAGTTATGGAAATCCTTAACTCCCTTGGGAGTTAAGACTCTGTTTATGATTATCGTAACCAAGGATTAATGGTTATAGTAGTTCAGTAGGAAATAAAATCGTTTCCTTCGCATATGAGCCATTATACGAGACGTGTAAATGATGAAAAATATCTACCATCTCACTTAAACCTGCGAATTATGTATGGCCTCTATAAAGAAGGAAGGGAAATTGCTGTTGGCCGATCAATATATGAAATTTTTCATAAATTAAAGCCTTCGTTTAAAAAACCTTATGTTAATACTTGCCATAAATGTGACACTCTGAATATGCAGGTAAAAGTTGCCAATGGTTAAGATAAACAGAATGCCGAAAAGGATTTCCAGTTGCACCGCTAACGCAGCGTACGATGCAAAAAAAGATAGACAAAGAAGAAGCCAAAATTGATCCCAAAAAAAAGTGTTTTAGTTTCGATTTACAACAATGTTTGCCAACACCCTTTATTATTTCTTCAGTAGCATTCTACAAAAGGCAACTATGGACTTACAGTCTGACCATTCATGATAATGCTACTGAAGAATCAACAAACTACATGTGGCACAAAGCTTTGGCTTCTAGTGGGGGGGAATGAAATTGCATCCTGCTTGTATTGCCACCTAAAAAATTTGCCCGATTCCATTGGTGAAGTTACTTTTCACTCAGACATCTGTGGTGAACAAAATAAAAATAGTCATGTAGCTGCCATGTTTATAAAAGCTCAAAGTGAAAATCCAAATTTAATTATAAACCACAAGTTTCTTGTACTTGGTCATACACACATGGAATGTGATATAGATCACTCCATGATAGAAAAACAAAAAAAGAAAATGGAAATTCCAGTTTACCATCCACATGATTGGTATCAGTTGGTCAGGAAAACGGACAGAAATAAACAATTTAAGGTTCACGAAATGCAACAGGAATAATTTTTTGATTTTGCTGATTTAGTGAAATCAGGATTGGTTGGCAGCTTTATAACCTTATTTCCTGAAATATTGAAATTTTGACTTAAGCCCCTTTGACCTAACACTAGAGAACTGTCTGAATGTTATTTGTTCTTAGCCGTAACGAATGTAGTAAACTAAATAGTTTAGGTTTTCGGAAATAAATAATTAAAAACCAAGTTTACTGAAAATTCTATTTAATTGGCGCAGTAGGTAGGATTTTCGGACCGTGTATTTCACGTGCTCGGAAAATCGTAATTTAAAGAAATTTTACAGCGAATATTCGGACTGACCACAAGCGCGCTTCTGTTTCTACAGTTAACCGGCAATTCGAACATTTGTGAAAAATAATTCAGCATAGAATATCGAAACCTTGGATATCTAGTCTTTCAGTCAATTTGGAGTAACCCTTGGATACCAGTGTGTAGTCATTGTTGGACGTAGCATTCTCGACACACAGAAACGACCAATCAGCAACCTTGATTCAACAACACCAGACCAAGAAACCCATGCACTACATTTTTGAAGGAGAAGATTGAAGATCATCATAGGTAGAGTAATAGTAACAATTTTTATATATCCCTTTTTGTTTGTAAATCTATCGATCAAATTCCTTCTGAATTAAATTTAACCTTTTTGCATTAACCAATCTCACCAAAACTTTCTAGCGTTCCTGTTAATTTTCTTTTAATTTACTTATAAACTTTTTTTATTCAATTATTCTTCAACTTTTATATGGACACCGAATACATCCCTGACCAACTAGCTGGTATAAATTTGCAATCAATAATAGAAACAGCTAATACCATCAGAATGCCCGACGCATTAAGAGCTTCAGTTATTCTACTTGAAACTTGCGATGGCAACGCTAGCCATTTAGAAGCTTTTATAAATATTCTTGACACTTTTTATAAAAGATAGTATACAGGACACGCATCTTCAAAAGAGTTCACTAATTTAGCCATCCAATCCAAATTAATACGTGAAGCAAATGACTTCATTTTATCAATAAATGATCTTACAACATGACCAGAAATAAGAGAAGCAGATCAAAATTCGGCGACCCAATTTCTCGCCAGAACCTAACACAGCAACTAATGTTGCACAAAGAGTAAAGAACGAGTCCACTTTAGACTACGTTCATAAACTTAAAACGCTTGTCCACCGTATAACATAAAAAATCCATTCAGAATTCATTGACAATAGTGTAAAAGTAACTCTAATCGCGCAAACGGAACTAACGGCTACCCATAACTTAATGACCAATGTACTCCAACAACAATTCTTATTATACAAAATCCCTCACAATTAACCACTACCATAAATCTTATCACTAATTACGAAACAATAAACAGCCAATTGTCATTTAAACACCAGTTTACTTATTCACCGCAATCGCACCAAAACGATGACAACTTCGTGCGACACCAATTCCAAAATCAAAATCCAAATCTCTCTAAACAGCAGGGATTTAATGATTCATTCCCTAAACAGCCCATAAATGTGCAACCACAAATGCACAGAGTT